ACAAGTGAAGCATTGAAGCTACAATATAATAGTATATTCGGATTAGTTTTATTGTAGAACTTCATGTCTTTTCCTATTATGTATTTTTTATTTTATCTCTTATATATACCCTTGTAAGTCGTATGGGAAGTGGTGACGTCCTCATTGTTACTCCTCTATGTTTGTAATCACACTACTACAAAACATCAAATATGTGCCGCCACTATAGGTGCCGGTAGTGCTCATAAAACCGGCACCTATAGGCATTTTCCCATCTCCGCGGGTTGAAATCGTAAAAAACCGGCACCATTAAGTAATTATAGGTGTCGGTTCTAATAAAAACCAGCACCTATTATATTTTGTATCGTTTTTTTAAAAAAAACGACACATATAATATATTAAAGGTGCCGGTTTCCCTAGAAAACCGACTCCCTACCAAACGAGCTGAGCCGAGAATCCGCGGCCTTATCCACTCTCCGACTGGGAGCCGAGAGACCGCGGCCTTATCCACTCTCAAGTCTCACCACTCGTGACCTCTCTCTCTCTCACCCTCTCCTTTCTTTCTCGGCCTCTCTCTCTCTTAGCGCTTTCATCGGCTGCGGTGGGAGGGAGGCGGCGGCAGCAGCGGGCGGCGGCGGGAGGAGAGGTGGCAGCGGCGGGTGGCGCCCTACCGTCCACCAGATCTGGCGGGAGGGGAGGAGGCGTCGGCGGCCCGATGGCGGAAGGGTTGGCAGCGGGAGGGGAGGCGGCAGTGGTTCGACGGCCTAGCGACGGTGCTCTCCCCTCCGCCAGATCTGGCGGGAGGAAGGGCGGCGGCGGCGCCGGCCCGGCAGCGGCGGGAGGGGCGGCGGGCGACGGGTGGCGGCGGTGGGTGGAGGCGGCGGCGGCATCAGCGGTGATGGCCGCGCCCTCCCCTCCGCTAGCGGCCACGAATGAGGTCGCGGGATCCGGCATCGGCGGCGGGCAGGGTGGCAAGATCCGGCGTCGGCGTCCGTTCCCGCGGCGTCGGCGTCCGTTCCCGCGGCATCGGCTTCTCCCGTGGGGACGGTGAGCTTCTCCCGTGGAGTTGTGAAAAAATTTAGTGAAAAAGGAATTGATGGCTGTGATTGATGTTGGTGAATAGTTTTTGTGATCGGTGAATTGATGAATAGTTTTTGTGATTGATGAATGTTTCTGTGATTCGAGATTTGTGATTGATGAATGTTTGGTTCACGGGGTGATTTGTGATTTGTGAATGAGATTTGTGATTCGGGTTGATTCACGGGATAGATGCGCTCAATGCATCGGCTCGATTCGAGCCTTTTTTTTTTTTTGCTCGGAGTGGTCTCAAAGGTGCTAGTTTTAAAAACGGGATTGGTGCCAGCTCTCTCAAAGGTGCTAGTTTTTAAAACCCTCTTGGGTGTCCGTTTTCCCAACCGGCACTTTTCAACTGTTCTGTGGTAGTGTCAACTTCTCAATAGTGATCATTGCCGGTCGGTCAGCGTCCGTGGTTTTTACCCGCAAAGGTTTTTCACACAAAATTCGTGTCTCCGTTATGCATCTATTTTCTTAACATCTCTCCTACCATAACCTAGAAACATTACACATTAATTGTCTTGAAGAAGCCATGCATGTTGCCTGTTCTATATGCTTGCAAGATATAATAAATGAAAATTTATGTGCTATCGAAACTGCACAGTTGTACTGGTTGTCTTCTCGTTCTTGGTGAAATGAAAATATGTTCGGTTGTGACAGCCATCCTAAAAACATAACAGAGACGTTCGGAAAGTCTGGCTCGTGCCGCATGGAACGGACTCGCTGTCTGCATGCGTTGAGCTCAAATCACGCATAGCCGAAAAAGAACTACCATGGGCTTTTGACCAAAAAAATGAATTGGAAAGCAAGTTGAAGAAACAAATGCATGGGACAGATAATATGTATGTATGCAAAAGGAAGAATTGCCGACACATAATCCCCATGCCTTTAATTTCTACATAGATTTGTCTACACATATTCCGTAGGCAAATCTTGGTCTTCCCCAACTGACTACTATTAGGAAAAGTGGGCCATCGTGCAGTGTGTAATTGGAGCGCTAAACATTCTTCAGTTCACCTATTTATATTTTGGGGAATGAGTGGCATCACGAAAAACACCTTCATTGGCATAGACACTGAATTGCTCCCTAGCTTAGCCAGGGAGCGTTTTGGACAAGAGGAAGTGACAACATCTTCATCTGGTGCGAATGTATCTTGTATTGGCGCAGCAATCTAGCTGTGATGTATGTGTCCATAGAAAAGTAGTACCTAGTATCTGTTAACACCCATATTTAGCACCTAATAAGATAAATAGAAAAATATGGCCAGATTTGAAAAAGACCATCTTCGCCATATGAGGCCTGACCATAATCATAGGGCAAACCAGACCGACGGTGTGGGTCCGGTCTGACCAGCGGCATGTGACCACTCAAACCAGCAGAGTCTGACTCTGTCCAGTTTATCATTTCTCGAGTTTTCTTGCTCGGGCGTGAGGTTTCTTGATCCTAATAGAACATGACGAAGGTCCTATGATGACAAGACCAAACCTTTTATAAGGGTTATGGCTGGTTCGATTCTAACCCCCCGACCATAATCTCTACAATCTATTGAATCGTTGTTTCACCTTCAGTTAATATTTAAACCCCATATCAATTTAGAGTTTTTTTAGATTAAGGTGGTTGGCTACTCCGTTAATAACACCATAAATATTTAGGTGAATCCGAGGAAAAAGTGCAAACGTTATTTACCAATCTGTTTCTTTAACTATAATTGGGATTTGGGAACAATCGTTTGCATAAAAGAACATAATCCTCTATTGCAAGAAAGTAGCTAGCAACAGAATAAGTTAGATGTCATATGTTTTGGACCAGCAGGCATGCGAAACTTTTGTTGTTTAATTCATTGCTACCCTGCCTGGAAAATAATTATTTTCTTTTGCCAGAAGTTAATTTCCATTTAATATCTTAGTTATTTATCTTATGTGAACCGATTTCTTATTTTCATTGTGGAGCTCTGATCGATGCACAGTACAGTCAATAACTAGTTGGAAAGAACACGTCAGGAAAACATATTTGGTGAGATGTTCTAAAACGGTCGCTAGAGCTTCTCCCTTCAGGTCATGTCCGCGGACATGCTGAGCCAATGGAGAATATGTCCATTGGGTTGAGTAAGAGAAAGTAGAGTTGTGCACCTGTCTGAATTATTGTATAAAGGTTCTAACATTGACATAAATATGTGTACATGATAAATTGTATGGTTACATACACTTAGCACACCCACAAGTCATATATAAAGGGAATAGCGCTTTCTAATTGCCGTCGCTCTTGGTGTATATATTCATGTTCGCGACACATCACTTATTATCTGTAAGCATTAGTTCACACAGAAATTTCTACCGGCCAAGCCACAATTGGGACAGCGCGACACATTATTCTGCATTTAATTTGTTACAAGGCAGAAGCACGTTAAGTGCAGATCGAGGTTCATCATCATCCAGCCGACCACCAGGCCAGCGCGCCTTCGATCGGAATGAGTGGCATCAGGGAAAAATAGCTTCCATGTTCTAGACCATTGATCACAAATCTTCTGCATGTAGTTTGCGAATGAAAACTTGAAGTCATGTATAGCAGAAAATGCAGAATACCTCGCCTCAGATATGAGGTTTTTGGTGTTTATGCCATTCATTCTCTCTGGGGTAGGCTTGGCTGTTGTATTCGATTCTATGACAGATACGCTGATTGCTGCGTGCATTGGCCTGGTAGCTAGGGTTTGGAGTTTCAGTATTAATCCATCTTTGACGGGCACTTCAAGACAGAGGATTTTTCTTTCCAAACAATCTAATTTTGTTCTAGTAGTGTGGTAACGAAAATTAAGACTCGTGGTGATAACTACAATGGGCAAATTAATCGCGGCAATATATCTTAAACCATGCTGTTTCAAACAAGAGTATTTTGCAGGTACATATTGTTTACACCTAAATTTGACATCTAAGATTAAAATAGGAAGAATTGCCAAAATTTAAAAATCTACCGGTTTCCTTTGAGTGGGCCGGTCTGACCGCCATGTGTTGACCGGTCAGACCGCCGGTTGAGGGCCGGTCAGACCGGCGGTGTGTGGCCGGTCTGACCAGCAGGTCTAAGTCCGAGTGTGTTTCGTCGGGTCTCGAGGTTTCCTTGCTTGGGAAGATATGTTTCGGGTTTTCTTTGGATTCTATCTCGAGTTAGACATGAAGGAGGGGACTGTAGAGGTCAAGACCAACCCCTATATAAGGGACATGGCCGGTTCAACTGTAACTAACCAATCTACAATCAATCAATCGAATCGTTTTTCATATTGTTTTTAGTTTTCTCTTAGTTTGTCCATCTTTGTCGATTTGCACCGTAAATCGTCCGGCGCCGCTGTGAGAGTGCGACACCTCTTTATAGGTTTATCCTGAAAACCTTCCGTTTTACCCACGAGACGGGTAGTTATCTAGTAATCGGCTCCGCTAGCTAGTTTAGTTATCAAAACCCATCTTGGTCTAGTTTTTGCTAGGTTAAGGTGATTGGCGACTCTAGGATCACCTCAAAGCATTAGGTGCTGCGATCGTTGTTGTCAACTTATCATAAAAAAGTTGCCAACACATATGATTTATCCACGTTTATCCAGTTAGCTCGGTTGCGTCAAGTCTTATGTAGTACACGAAACATTAGCTGACTCAAATTTCCCAGTTGATCAGCTTCACTTCATCCTTCAAGTCAAACAAGCTTTGATAGCAGGCACACTGGAAGCCCAGATAAATGTTGACGCAACCGTCCAGAATAATTAGCCCTAATTTCTCAGTGGTTTTCAAGACAATCGATGATTTTATCTGCAAATCTTGTGCTGCTGGGACAGTGACTGGGCCAAGGGAAGTAACGACTTTTTTTTTTAAGATAATGGATTAAATAAAACCTGCCTTATACATCCCGAAGGATGTACGCAGCCGCAGTATTACATCACCACACACTTAGGCTGACAAACAAGTTCAAAAGCAAACGCCACCATAGAAGGCAAATAGATGACAAAAACATCCAGAACAAGTCTCACAACAAAAAAATTTCAGCTAACAATTCAATCTTCCTCTACAATTCCGTCGAGACTTTGAGTAGAATTCCATAACGATAACTTTCGATTTTTGGCACCCCATCTTCACAGCTTCCTTGTCACCTTCTTTAAGAAGCAAGGACCACTGGCGACTCCAGTGCGTCCCCCAAAAAATAACCTGCAAGAAAAAGTTTATACTTGAGCCATTGATAACTACATCATTACTAGCAAGCCAAAGTGCCCAACAGATAGCCGCAACTCCCACGAAGAGTTGATCTCTAAGCTTAGGTACTAAGTCCGTCGACCAACCACCTAGAAGATTAGCAACATAAGTGGGCACTTGTATTCTAGCTAGAACCATGAAAAGAGCATTCCAAACCAAATGTGCAGCATGACAATAAAAAAAGAGATGTTGAATTGTTTCTTTAGAGTTATAGAAACTTCCTTTCCTTCTCCTTTTAATCAAAATGTCTTCTGTTAAGAGTACTCATCTGATATACCAAAGGAAAATCTTAACTGTAAATGGAATTCTGAGCTTTCAGATTAAAGATTTTACCACGTTACGGCAAGTAATGACATGTCATGGCACAGTGCATGGCCTGCCATATGGCACCCACTATCAAAACGCCCGTCATGGAGAACACCGTAGTTTTAACAATTGTGACATGTGGAGTACTTCTAGTGGGCGAATATTTATGCAGCTAGACATATGCACCAAAATGCGTTATGTTTGGCCTACACTACTAGAAAAAGCATTTTTCCCAACATAGGGGTCTTATTTTCGCAGGCGGACATGACGCTTAGAGCCAAATAACGGCCTACAAAAATATAAGTCAGGGTGAAATTTGATGTCCGCATGCGAAAATCTATTTTCGCAGGCGGATCACTTAAGCGGCGCCTGCGAAAATCATTTTCACAGGCGGACTACATGAGGTGCGCCTGCGAAAATTAGCGTGATATATATACATGGCAGATGGGCCGAATTTTTTCTAAGTCCTTCCCTCTCCCCCTCACTCTCCTCTCCTCTCCTCTCCCCTCCCCTTCACCTCTCCTCTCCCCTCACTCTCCCCACTGGCAGAAGGGGCGGACAGCGCGGGGCGGCCGGCGGCGGACGGTGCAGGGCGGACGGCGTGGAGCGGCGGCTCCCCTCCCTCCCTTCCTCCCCTCCAGATCTGGCCGGAGGGGGGAGGGGGGAGGCCGGCGGCCGGCGGCCGGGCGCGGGGCGGTGGCGGCGTGTGCTCCCGGCGATGGCGGCGGGCGCGCCCCTCCCTCCCTTGGCAGAGGACGGCAGCGACGAGGAGGGTCGAGGCGGCGCGGCTCTCGGGCCCTCCCTCCCAGATCTGGCCAGAGGGGGCGGGGGGAGAGCGGTGGCCGGCGGCTCCCGGCCCCTCCCTCCCAGATCTGGCCGGAGGGGGGCGGGAGGAGCACGGCGGCGAGCGGTGGTGGCGAGGAGGGACGAGGCGGCGCGGCCACAGCGGCGAGGGGGGTTGAGGCAGCAGCGGCGGCGGCGCGGACGACGGCGGGCCACAGCCGTGCGGCGGCGGCGGACATGCAGCGGCGGACGACGGCGTGGCGCGGACATGCAGCGGCGGCGACGGACGACGGCTAGGCGGCGGCCGTGATTTTTTTGAATGTCTTTATTTGCTTTCTTTGCCACAATTGATTCGGTGATTCGGGAATGGATTGGGAACGGGAAGCTACCGCCGTCCGGCGGTGGCTGCCCATTTTTCTTTTAGCACTCGAAGCTATTTTCGCAGTCGGATGTGTTGCCCGCCTGCAAAAATCAACTATTTTCGCAGGCGTTGAGGTGTAGGCGGATGGCTTGTCCGCCTGCGAAAATATGATTTGGCCGCCTGGGAAAAGCCTTTTTCTATAGTGCTATATGCGTTCGGCGCATCACTATACATGTTTCGGAAAGTTTATATGTAGAGAGAAACTATTAATATGTACAAAATTACATAATTTGGCTCATTTGAAACACAAGACTTTTATATAAAATTAGGAAAAACAAAGGAATAAGATAGGAACAGATATGTGAAATAAACTATTGAAAAAACATGGGAATTTTGTAGAACTATGCATTTATTTGGTTGTAGAAAAAACATGTAAATTCCTCTAGATTATATTATTGGTGTAAATTGTGTCAGATGTCTACAATAAATCAACGAACAAGTCTGTAACAACTAGATGATTTGCCTTCACCATGATGTTGGAGTGGACGTTAAATTTCCTACCCATTTTCCTCTATAATCGCAGGGAAAGAAGAATATCCCACATTTGTCCTTTGCTCATTCCTAGTGATTCCTAAATGGTTCCTTTGTTTTTCCTTGTATTTCAAAGGGACCCTCGCTAGAAGAGCAAAAACAGGCCAGGAGAGGGGGATGTAAACGGATATGTGGTACAACTTCACACTATCATAAATTGCAGACATGTCACAAGCTAAATTCTGAATCACTACTACAAAATCAAATTTTCATGGCATCAACTTTTTTTTTCTGGCGGCCATATATGATCACCGCCTGCGAAAATACTCCGAGGGGTGGGGGGGAGGGGGGGCTATGGACCGCCAGGAAAAATGGATCTTCACTGGTGGCCGAGTTAGGACGGCCGCCAGCAAAGATGCGCTCCTTTTCGCTGGCGGCCCACTGAAACGTCTGCGAGCGAAAATCGGGTTTTCGCACGGTAGGTAAAGAGCACCGCCAGCGAATTAAATCCACCGCACCACCAAAATATCCCTCGGTCTCTCCGCCTCTTTCTCCCTCCTCCCTCCACTCACCGCCTCCGCCTCCCTCCTCCCTCCGGCCTCCCTCCTCTCTCCACCACCGTCAGCTGCTGTCGCCTCCACCACCGTCCAGTACAACCGCCGCAACGGCCAACGGGGAGGCTGAGGCCTCCAAATCTAGCACCGACCACGGCCTTCCCTGGCTGGCTGGTGGATGCAGCTGTCCGGAGCGGGCCGAGCGGGGCGACGATTGTTGAATTTATAAACACATAATAATTTAATTTGTTCCATAAATAAATCATGACATTGCAAATATAAACTAGCATAAACGCATCATTAGATCTACATATGTAAACTAAATAGTAAAGCATGAACAGATCAAATATGTGCAACATGATGAACACGTACCGAGGGTACCGGAAGACCGGCTGCTCAGCAGGAATTACTCGCGGTTGTGAGCGTTGACGACAATGCGCAGCACGTGAGCAAAGAGGTAGATGAGCTGTTGTGGTCGAACAGGGAGCAGTCGCGCGAAGCGCTTCCCAAAATTCTTATTGACGTTTTCTCCCGGTGCAGAACGTTAAAGGTAGAGGTTCCAGAGACCTGCTCTCCCGATCGCCGGTGCATACGACTAGCGGGATGTGGGCCCCCCGGTTTTGTATACCGAAAACCCCATGTGTTTTACAATACCATTCCCTGAATCAGTAGATGGTACACACATCGCATAGTTGTATATCACAAGCAGACATTGTTATACGGGTTGACTATACATTATAATACAAGGGTAGCCCAAATGGGACCCAAATAGACCGAACATGGTCATGTACATTACAAGATACCAACGTAGTCCACAGGCATCGACTGATGAACCTAGGTCCTGACTCCACAGTCTTTGATATCTCTTCATCAGCATAGTTCCCATATGGTCGACTCCAACTCCTAAAAGATTTAGTTAAGCAAGGGTGAGTATCAACCGTACTCAGCAAGCCACCACTATACATAATGCATTTAGTGTACACAGGGGTTCAAGGATGGCTAGGTATATTTGCATAAAGCTAGATTTCACCTATGACCTAGCAGTTTTAACTGAAAACAGCGTTAAGTTGAAGTTGTCATTAATCCGTGAGGGTTCATCCACCTTCCCCAAGCCTCGCTTGGTCGGGTTTACCCTCGCATCTAGTTTTCCACACTTCCAACATCACAATGACCTTCCCACCCATCGGGCAAGGTCTCACCTCATTCCTAATATAAGCAAGATTAAAATCTATGAGGCTAGTCAAGAATAGTACAAGTCCCGGTGCTCATTAACCGCGAGCACGACTATTCGAATAGATTGGTTTACTCACGCTGCAGTGGATGTACGCTTTTAATCCCACACTCCGTGACTTGCCCAACACATGAGCCTAGTCCCAACACATGAGACCCGGCTTTTCGGTCATTCTCGCATTTTGGCACCCGCTCCAAGGACTATAAATCTCCAATGCACTCCTAGCACAACACACCCCCTCGAGCCAGCAGTGAGGGGAGTCCTGGCACTTACGGGATCATAAGAAGTTACATTACATATACGGCATATATAGGTGCATTTTAGATTTCCTGCGTGCAAAACAACACAACCCTTCATCAACATCACATCATCCTCATACAGATCCACCATGACAGGGGTGCCGCCCCACGAGGATTTCTCAATCCACCGGGTCTATACCCCGTCGAGAAGTGTGGTCGTACTCTGATCATTTCCTGCCTAGCTTCTTGATTTGGTCCTTAACAGAGTAGGGTCGACGACTAGCCGTTTCCAGAACCAACCATATTCTATTCATGGCACCCAGTTGAAAACATTTTGTTTCATTAGGTTTTCGGTTTTTGCAAAGGTTTTTGCATCGCGGGTGGCGCTCATGTCTCCACCCATCTTCTAGCAATCACTCTCAACGAGTGACCACCACAAACACATCCATAACCAACTACGATGGAGTGTATAATTGTCTATAATTAAGCAAATCTAAGCAATGTCAATATTTGACCACGCATAAATAATAGACTCAGGCAACAAGGATATAATAAAGGTAACAAAATCAAGGATGGTTCACATACAACTTTAGGTACGCATTTTATAATTAGCATGCAACTTTATTTATAAACAAAACATTTATAAAATGGGTTCAACATGCTCAAGAGGGAAGCGCGGTGATTTGCCTTGCTTTTAGAAATTGATATCTTCACGAAATCCACGTCCGTTGAATATCCGCAATATCTGATACGCAGTCAGTACGAGAAAACCATATAACAACCTCCAAATAAACTACCAAACATTTCAAAGTGCCATCGGATAGATCTTGATTTTAGAAGAATTCCAGAAGTTCAACGGTGTCAATCGGAGTCACGGTTTGCAAGATATGAATTTCCGAAGTTTTTACGGATTTATAATCCAAGAAAAAATTATTCCTCTCATTGGAAAGGAATATTCCTCACGGGGTCCACTGTCAGTAGCTCAGGAAGGCCGGTGCATGGTAGATCGGGTCTACCGAGTGCGCGGCAGGCCAAGGTGGTGGACCACGCGCGGGAACAAGGGTGGGTCCCACGTGTAAGTGTCTATCGGTACAGAGTGGATTAATAGGAGATTACATGTGGTGGGACCCATCCATAAGTGACTCAGTGGTGAGAGACACTTGAGGGGGATCAGGAGGGGTTACTGCCCGAGGTGTGGGGAGGGATATAATAAAGACTTTTGGTGGAGGAGGTGGCGGTCTGTGGGTTTTGGCCCGAGGGAGTAGAAGGGAGGTGAAATAGACTTTTGGCTGGTCAAACGGTCTCAGGGAGAAGTCAAGCACCTACAAAAAAAATTTCCATGAAACAACAGATCTGTAAGGTACTCCTTGCTTGCAAAAATATCTGATCAAAAGGCAGAGAACTGTCCCACACTATGCCCAGGGAATTCCAACAATTGATCAAAAAGGGGCAAAGGAAGAAAAGATGTTGTAAATCTTCTACCAGCTGAGAAGGACAAAGAACACAGCACAGATCACAATTTGGAGGCGCAAAATGCTTATGATGAAGCATATACTTAGTATTTAATCTATTCATCAGAAGCAGCCATCCAAAAACTTTCACTTTTGAAGTAACTTTGCTATTCCATAACCATATAAATTGCTGGGGAGGTTGCAAAGCGCAAAAATTCAGAGCATAGAATTTTTTATAACTATATCTCAAAGTTCCCCAAATAAAAGCCCATATGTCTTTCTCATGATCCAAATTATGTTGCTGCAACTAAATCTGAAGTGTCTGGAACTCCTGCAAGGCCTCTTGAGACAGAGGTACATTGAAATTATCCTCTGAAGGGACTGAGAGAGATTTTTCGACTGAGGAATTAGGACTCAGAGCAAAAGAAAACAATCTGAGCATCAAAATTGAAAGGGGGGCATCTTACCACACATCATACCAGAAAGAGCATGAAACTCCATCACCCACATTACATTTAGCAATAC